TTCTTGCATTGTAAAGTCAGAAATTTACAAGAAAACTTAAAACTTAAACTGATGTCTAAAACTAGATTTAAACATCAGAAACACGTAAATGTTCAGCTGAGATTAACAAAAATAATTAAAAAACAATCTCTTCTCACACCCTACTAAGGATTAATATTAGTAAATAAGAGTTTGGAGACGTTGATGTTGTAACTGAAATGCTGGTGATTACAATAAAGACTGAAAACTATAGAAAACAGCTGTTTGGCATCACTTTTAAAATCTTAATGGAGTTCTCTTGCAGTGTGAACACAACCTTTATGTCACGAAGGAATTACAATCCACAAAAAGTAAAACATTTAACCCTTTAATGATGTTAATGTTTATCTTTGCTACATCATCATTTCAGAGTTACTACTGATTTTCCACAATTTTCATACCTTTATTGGTAAAAAACAAACATTTTTGGATCATTGCACCAAATTCTCAGCCTCAACTTAAAAAACTGGTTCTCTTGATAGTTTTCGAGTCTTTTAATAGATGCAGGCAAAGTGAAATTCCATCTAACAGTCCTGTCTGCAGACATGAAGAAGCCATCGGGTCTAATGGCCGAACAAGATAAGATGCATTCAGAACCACTCAGAGCCAAATGGATTTCCCATCATCCCACTGCACCACGGTCCATCTGTCCTTGGACAGTCATTTAAAGCCAGTCTGATATTTGCTCATTAATCCCGAGGAACCCAATTAGAAATCATATTGATTGAAGAATCGACGTGTTTCAAGGATCGATGTGTTTTCTGTGAACAGGAGAACTGGACCTGTTTTTTTTTTTTTTTGTGTGTGTGTTTGGTCTCACAGCTCCTCTGAAAGCCACATTAGTCTTTACGGAGCAGCCTGCAGTAAAGAACAGCTGCATCTAGGCGGCCCCAAAAATCTGGGCCAGAACTCTGGAAGCGCTCGTGTCTCATTGGGAACTCCACCCTCTGAAAGAGTCGATTTCGAGTCTCAGAGCAAAAAGAACAAGCAGAGAAACTGGAACGCTGGCTGAGAACCAAGAACCGCTCCTCTCAGGGATTAGACAAGTGCTAGAAACAACCTTCAGCCTTTAAATGAGGTGTTTTAATGTGTCTTTTTGGCTTTTATCTCCTCCTACTCTCCGCTGCTAAAATGTCAAGTTTTGTTTGTAACCCGATAATTTCCTAAAAGCATCTTAATGTGGGCAGAAAGCTTAAACATCAGTCTGAAAGGTTGCAGGAAAAAAAACAACACAGTGGTAAAAAAAAAAAATGACCAGAAAACAGAAGAAAACCAGTTAATAGAGAAAATGTGCTTTCACTTCCATTTCTTCCCTCAGCTGCTCTGGAGGAACAATGAAGTCAGAGGGCGAGGCAGTCCTGATGGTGCAGTAATGAATCCCCGAGTGAACAACCATATGGTTTCTATCGTTCACCCTGGACAAAACGTTAAAGTGTCAGCCCGCCAGATAAAGCTCTGTTTCTTATCCAAAAAACAAGTGAAGAAACGATTGGTTTTATGACTTGTTTTACGTCTTAAAGCTCATCCATCATACCATCTTTTTATGATTTGTTTAGTTTGCACGGTTTCAGCAGAGTCCCGTGTTAAAAGACAAGGAGGCACATTGTTGGACTCATTCAGGAGGAGTGAAGGAGGAATCTTCTCACTGGGGTTTTGTGCTCCCACATGCCTCGCATTCCAACAAACTGCAGCRTAGGACGCCTGCCTGGACGCTATTATGCAACGCGCAGATGTTTGTGGGAGAAAGTTAAAGGGTTCATTCTGCAGTGAGGGATTGTGGGATAGGTGGAGGCCCAGCTGACCAGCATCAGGGTGGTGCCTCCTCTGGGGACACACAGAGCCCTGCTCACTCTTCTGTGGCTCTCACACCCATAAGAGTTCTGGCTTTTAAAGTAAAACTCAAACGCTGCACACGAGAACTGATTGAAAAGGCTCGGGACCCCTCACCTGATCGGGCCGGTTGTTTGGAGGTCGGCAGCGACACCTCGGTGAGCGGCAGGATGTAGACGTCTGGAGTGCCCTGAGACGCCGGAGACGCCAGTGTGGACATGTCTGCGTGGTACTCGTCCCCGTCCACATTCTTGAATTCCTGAAACACACAAAGTGTAATTGTTGTATAAAGTACCACAAAGTGATGCTTGAGTAAAAGTACAAGTATCTTACCAAAAAATGACTTTGGTAAAAGTTAAAGTCTTCTTTAGGAATATTACTTGAGTAAAAGTCTTAAAGTATCTGATATTTTTGTACTTAAGTATCAAAAGTAAATTTCTGACACAAAATCTAGTATTAAATGTAAAAGTACTGAGTAAAAGTGAGCCGTTAGATTTTACTAAATGACATTTATTGGGAGGTGACTTCTCCAAAATATATTTTCTAACAGCGTGCAGCTGT